AATTCTTGTCTGATGTCTTGTTCTTTGGCTTCTATGGCTTCAATGGTGAAGTTAGTTAACCTGCCTTTGCTGTAAAATCTATTACCTGCTGGAATGTGTTCTGATCCAGATGTGTCGTTAATTCTTGTCTGATGTCTTGTTCTTTGGCTTCTATGGCTTCAATGGTGAAGTTAGTTTGTCTTACTCTTTCGTTCAGGAGCTGGGTCTGTGCCTTCTGGAGGATCTTGCTTGCTCCGTGTCCACCAATGGAGGATCTGCTCTATCAGGCAGGTTTGGTCCCGGGTCTCCTAAAGGCTGTTTCAGCTCTGATCGGATCATCACAGGAAGCCACTCAGAGCCTTGCCCATGGTTACCGGATCTTTACGGTTTCTCTGACAATGGGGAAGTTTTGCCAAAGTTAGACAGTTGCCTTCTCAGGGTTATATCACAAATGTACTGAATAGATTTATGTTGAAATTTTAGGTAATGTTTATTACTCGTTAAAAATGTTTATTACACCACAGAGAACAGGTGAACAAAGTTTAAAACATTTCAGAGTACGAACAGGACCGCGGCTCCCATCGAGTCGTCATTCTGCAGATGAAGCCCTCCACACAGTGACACTTCTCTGCAGCAAGCCGCTTGGAGGTCTTCTCCAGCAGTTCTTGGATGTTTATTCTCTTTCCTATACAACAGAAGGGGGGTCGAGAGGGCGGAGGAGGCTAACCTCCGTTTCAGAAATCATTTGCCTGTAAAATATGAAAATAAATAAATAATAACCACCTCGGATTTTGATGAAACTTTCAGGGAAATTCTGTGGCTAATAAGTGTGTTGATGCCCAGCCACCAGGTGCTCGTTAACATGCCCCATATCCAGGCCTGGCTCCAGAGTGGGGCCCTGTTGACCCACGTCCAGGCGAGGGAATGACATAAAGAGTGGTTCAACAAGATGGCGGAGCTGAGTAACCAAACAGGACCAGGAGTAAAAAGGTAAGTGATTTTATTTACAGGTGAGAGTTTGGTCATCTGGCTGTGAAGAGGAGGGAAGTACAGAGGTGAGTATGGTTTGCAGATTTGGTTCTTGAGGTAATTTTGTAGAAATAATTTTAGAGTCTCTTTGTAAAAATTTCTAGGAGGCAAGCGGCATGGAACGAGGAGGACTTCTCAAAGGTAAGGTTAGTTTCTTCAGGCAGAATGGCAAAGAGTAATTTCTTAACTGGTTCCTTTTGTGTTTCCAACAGGAGGGTTTCCAGGATGGCAGTATGGAGGAGCAAAGCCCCAGGGTCAGGTAATCAACCTTAGAGCAAAAACAAAGGGTAAATCAAAAATATATTTTGTTCTAGAAAACTTAGCAGACTAAAACAATACCATAAAGGTAAGATGCATCAGCTTGGACCAGAAGGTGAAGATGCCTTATAAAGCCAGCATCTCATCAGATGAAATCCCTCACAGGTGTAGAGAGAGTTCAGGAACCAATCAGGAAAGATGAAACCAAGACCAATCATCACAGGGAACACTGACTCCATTTTTGGTACTCATCATTAGGGGTCTTTGGACTGCACTTTGTCTGATCCCTCACCTAGGACCTATTTGCCTTAGGTGACCCTACTGGGGGCATGAAGCCCCCTACAACATAGCTCATAGGATCATTGGGACACTCAAACCTCTCCACCACGATTAGTTGGCAGCCCAGGGAGAGGTTAGAGTTAGCATAGTAAGCAACACTATGGTAACTGTATTAAAGAGGACCTATTATTGGGTCCTTGAACAAGTTAGGGTACATCTGTGGGCTATACAAAACATGTTTAATTGATTGAATTCACAAACTGAATCTAAAATAATGAGATTTCACCTTTTCAGTTCTACCTGTTCTGAGCTCCCTTCAGAACTAGCTGTTTATGCAAATATTTTGCTGTTGGCAACTCCCTCTTAACGCTTTGTTTACATTAGCTCTGCTCTCCAAACAACATTTGTGTTCACACTTCAGAAACGTGAAAATGGCTAGAATGAGCAGATGAACAATGGTACAACAGTAGTAGATGGGCTGCGCAGAGTGCAGCCACCCCAGGCGAGGGCTTGGTAGGGACAGACTGGACTGTCCAACAGAAGTTGAAAGTTCTTGGGTAAATCCTGCTGTGGGCTGGTAGTAGTTTTCAAACTAGTCCATTGGGATCAAAAAGAAAAAAACTGTCAGTCCTCTGGATGGGTTCTTTTTTAGTGAAACGTTTCATCTCTCCTTCTAGAGACTTCTTCAGTCTGAGGAGTTTCAGGTGAACTTAGCCTTGTAAGCTCTGCCTCCACATGGTGGACAAAGAGGTTAGTCAGGTCAGTCCTTTGGGAAATAATTAGCACAAACTACAACTTTCTTTGGCAATAATGCTAAAACATTACCATCAAAAATAAAATTAAGTCACGCATCTCTGTTCTCCATGACTGTTTTTTTCTTTGCAGCGTCTTTTTATTGCATTTGTCTTTTGTGTTTGCATTTTGAAGTTTGCAACATTTACTCACTTGCAGTCGATTTTATGAATGCAGCATTTTATTATGCATCATTTTTTGTTAGTGTCGTGTATTTCAGGTGTGTATGTCCCTTTAAGACGGGAGCGAGCGCCAGGCTCGCTCACGCGCTCTTTGTCAGAGTTCTTCGTAACACCTAGCTGTTAGCACCCTCTCTTGCATCTCTCGTTAAATAAACATGTCTAGAAGCTGAGGAAATCGTCTTTCTTCATTCAAGTGTTAGCTAAAATAGGTCTTAAACATCCAGCAGCTACAGGCAAGGACGCTCACTGATTTTCCAGCGAAACCACCGAAGAAGCAGCAGCACCAGAGTGAGCAGACTTCAGACGGGAGCAGACAAAAGAGAGACGGGTCCAAGCAGTCGACGGAG